ACTTCACCCCAAACCGTGCCGGGGTCTGCGCTCTCGTCGACTCCTCACAAGGCCGTGGCCACGGAGCTGAGACCCTTGGAGAGGGAGATTGAGACTAAAATAGTGGCGCAACTGGAAGACAAACACGCGGATGGATGTGGCGGTGCGAAACAAGTGCTGCTGCCGCTGCTTCTGTTGGGCGTGTGGGTGTTTGCGGCACTGTGAGAAGTGTGCGGTCTCTGTGCGGGGCATGTGCGCCTTCTCCCGACACACACACACACCGCCGGGAATAAATTCCTCTTCACGGGAGACAATTAAATTTTTGTTTTGTTTTTATTGCGACCAGGGAGGACATGAGCTCGCAGCGGTCCACACCGCAGCCACGCTCTGCCGCGTTCTCCTTTTTTTTTCTTTTTTCTTTTTTTCAATTATTCTCACTGTTTTTTTTTTGTTGGAGCCGTTTGTAACATCGTTTGTTGTTCGTTGTCCTCCGCGGACGGGGCGTGCTGCTGCCGCGTGTGCGTGTGGCTCGGGAGGCCGGGACTGCGCCAGCTGGCGGTGACGAACGTCGTTGTGTGCAACCGCTGACTGCGTCCAGGCGAACTGCGAGGCCGTCTTTTTGAGGAATCGTGGGCCGGGTGGAATCACACGTCTTCGGAATCCGCCGGGGACTTTTTCGACGATGTTGAGAGCGCCTTTTGGGGGGCGATGAGGCGCAACAACGGCGGTGACGGCTCTGCGTGCGAGAATGCGTCTCTGGTGCTAATGCTTCTGATTGGGCGGTGGGGCTTTTTGGCTTTCTGCTGAGCCGAACGAAGAGCATCGGTGAGCCGCTGCTACCGCCGATTGGACACATGAGCCGCCGAAGTAATTCTTTGCGTACCCGTGCGGGCCCACTCTTTTTTTTTTCGTTTCCCGTTTTTTTTTTTGCCTTTGGGCCGCACCTTTTGTTTGCTGTCTTTCATCTTTTTCTTTTTCCTTCTGCTGATGGTTCTCTTGCTGCTCTCAGTCTCCGCACGGAGAAGTGGGCCTCCCCTCACGCCTTTATGCTGCTCCTGCCCTTCAGCCGCGTGGCAGCGTGCCCACCGGTT